ACATATATACACACTAAAATAAACTACTACTTACTACTTGTGTTAGTATTTCTACTTCACGGTTTTTTACTTATCGCAGGGCTTCAGGGTACGCATCCCCCGCAATAAACGAGAGACTACTGTATAATCAAATAGGCCTTTTTTCCCCTCTCTTTTCATGTATTTAACTAGATTTGTTATAAAACAAAAAAACATAGGAATCTTACCCTGCAGGCTAGTCGGGCCTTTTCGTGGTCAGGAGCCATTTTCAGAGCCTGAACGAAGAACTGCACAGCTTTATCAATGCAGTCCTCGTAGTAAAGACAAAGACCTCGAACGTACAGAGCATCTGCATTAGTGGAGTCCATACGCAGGATGTCACTGTAAAAACAATATTAAATGGAGTTTTTTTAAAAGAAAAATCCTCTTATGAAAGTACTTAAATAGACACTTTACATGAATTCAATGTGGAAAAAGGGAAAATCTGAAAAAGCTGCTCTTACCTCGCCACAGACTGAGCCTCTGGGTATCGTCCGAGCAGAGCGAGACACTCGGCCTTCAGGATTTTGAAGCGATGACAGGCAGGGGCCAAAGCTAGGGCCCGGTCCATGCAGAACACCACCTGAAACCAGGAGCAACAACCAAATGTCACTCTGATTACATCAGTAACATCCATTAACTCCATTTAGGCAAAGACAAAACAAGACAGCAGTTGAAGACAACTAAAAGTTTGTTTTAATAAGAGTTGACAACAAATCACGCAGGTGAAATAGAAAATCCCATCATGTTTATTAAGTTTGCGTTGGACATGTGACAGGAGAATTTCATAAACAATCAAAAACCTGTCTAGATCACATAAGATGGAGAAGCATTAAGTACCTTTCTAAAATCCCGTTTATCAAAAGCAAAATCTGCCATCCGCTCGTACTCCAGCAGCACTGCAGCATTCTTTTTCTAAAAACAAATCAACGTTCGATTAATCATTTTTAAAACACCAACTGAACAGACGTGCTCAACTTGCAGACCCAGTCAGTGCTTTCTTTTATACAAGGATGTAACTCAATTTAAACAGTTCCCACCTCCTGCTGGGCCTCTCTGTTGCTGCGATCCAGCTCCAGAACCTTCTGAAAGCAGCGACTGGCCGCCATGCCGTTGCCCAAAGACAAGTGGCACTTGCCCTCGCGTAGATGCCCCTGTGGTAAAAACATATGGAAAAAAAATAAAAACTGGAGAATTTCTTCAACTCACCCTCTGAAAGCTGAGAGGAAACGTCTGGGCGCGACTCACCTTCATGAAACGGTCGTCCAGACGCACAGCCTGCTGGGAGTCTTCAAGGGCTTCTCGAAAACGATACAGCATCATGAGGGTGGCTGCCCTGTTGCCATAGTAACTGGCATTTTTGGGGGATGCATCTTAAATTAAAAAAGCAGACAAAATGGTTATTAATAAGAGAACACGAGGAAAACTTGGCTGTAATTATTATTATTATTAGGGATGCGTAATATTGGATTTTTGGCTGATATCCAATATGCCAATATGTTAAAACTTATTTGGCCGATAACCGATACAGATATTTTTTTCCCCTAGACCTACTTACAGAGACTACATAACGTTCTCTGCTGTGGAATTAAAATACATTATTCTGCATTGTCTTTGTCAGTTTGGTCTGCTACCAAATGCAGATGCCAAAAATGAGCTGAAAATTATGTAACACTTTAACTTGGATTATGTTTAATAAAATGTAAAATTTATTCATGACATTTACTCTTTAACACAACGACAACACTTGAACAGTCATACAAAAACAGCACCTTTCACACACACACACATATATATATATATATATAGATAGATATCTATATATATATGGTATGGTATGGTATGAAGTTTATTCATTTTAAAAAAGTACAAAACAATTCCATAACAATATATAAAAAGATACAAAAAAATTTAAAATGAAAGGCAGCAGAAAGAAGAAAAAATCTTATTTTATCTGCCCCTTTTTTCAAACAATTATTTCAGACATATTAATTTTCAAGTAACAGAACAAAATGAATAACTTTCTAATTTTTCTAATTCTAATACAAAACACACACTAAGCTACTTCATATATACTTTTTTAACAATCTAGATTTGATCTTTTTCTTAAATGTGCACATTGACTTGACATTTTTCACATCACTCTCTAGACCATTCCACAATCCAACTCCTTGGATTGAGGTAGACCTTCCCTTCAGACTAGTTCTGAATTTTGGTTTCACAAATATCTCTATCCCCTTAAGATTGTAACAACTTTGTCTTTTAATAAAATTTCTTTGGATATTTAACGGTAATGTGTTATTTTGAGCTCTATACATAACTGATAAAATACTATAATCTACTAAATCATGGAACTTTAATAACTTCAGTTGATAAAATAATGTGCTTGATGGGTGACAGTAATGCTTTCTGGTGATAATTCTTACAGCTCTTTTCTGTAAAATAAAAATTGGTTTTGTAAATGTTTTACACGCTTTCCCCCAAACATCAATGCAATAGATTAAATGTGGAACAATGATTGTGTTATACAACATGTACAGAGCTTTATCATTTAATAATTCCCTGACTTTGTATAGTACTGCAATAGATTTAGATATTTTTGTTCTTACAGAATTTATGTGATTTTTCCATGTTAGCTGTTCATCAATGATTACACCCAAAAATTTCATCTCATTAACTCTACAAATCTCAACACCCTCAATTTTAAATGGATCATCAACTGTTCTCTTTTTGTTACTAAATATCATGTATTTAGTTTTATCTAAATTTAATGATAATTTATTAAGTTTAAACCAAGTTTGTATTTTATCAAATTCTGTCTTCATCAGTTCCAACATCCGTTTTACATCTTTACCCAAACAGAAAAATGTGGTGTCATCTGCAAAAAGGACACATTTCAGGAGTCCTGATACATTCACTAAGTCATTCACATATAAAATAAATAACTTTGGTCCAAGTACAGAGCCTTGAGGAACTCCACAAGTGATATTGCACAAGTCAGATCTTACACCATTTATTTGTACAAACTGTTTCCTATCTTTTAAATAGCTAGATACCCAGTGTAATGCTGGTCCTCTTATACCATATTTATTTAATTTTTCAAGGAGAATAGTGTGATCAATAGTATCGAATGCTTTTTTTAAATCAACAAAAATACTAACACAATACTGTTTTTGATCGACAGCAGTAGTTATTTGTTCCATTATTTCCATGAGAGCCATTGATGTAGAGTTTTTTGCTCTAAACCCATACTGACTGCTACTTAGAATGTTTTGTTTAGTAATAAATTTATCTAATCTGGTCACAAACAGTTTTTCTAGAATTTTTGAGAATTGTGGTAATAAGGATATTGGTCTATAATTATTGAACACACATTTATCACCATTTTTAAAGAGAGGAACTACTTTTGCTACTTTCATATTGTCTGGAAATATTCCTTTTGAAAATGATAAATTACAAATGTATGTAAACGGCTCGATAACATAACTCATTATGTCCTTTACAAACATCATATCCATGTCCACCCAGTCTTTTGATCTCTTATCTGTAAGATTTTTTACTACATTCATTATTTCTTCTTTGTCAGTTCCATTAAGAAAAATACTGTTGTCACAACTTATAACTGAATGGTTCACATTATTGTCTACTTTTGGTATTTTAGCTGCAAGGCTTGATCCAACGTTCACAAAATGATGATTAAATCCATTTACAATTTCATTTTCATCATGGATTTCATCGTCATCTTTCAAAAAATATTGTGAAATACCTGTTTTTGCTTTATGACTTTTCAGAACACTATTTATTACTCGCCATGTAGCTTTCATATCACCATTACTTTTATTTAATAAATCACTATAATATTCCTTCTTGTGTTTCCTTATAATCGCTACTAATTTATTTTTATACTTCTTATATTTCTCTTCAGCCTCTTGTGTTCTCAATTTCAAGAAACATGTATACAAATAATTCTTTTTTTTACAAGCATTTCTCAACCCTTTCATCATCCATGGTTGGTCAACAACATTTCTCTTTGTACAATTATTTTGCACACAATTCTTTTCATACAGAGCTCCCAAAATATTCATAAACTCATCATATGATCTGTTCACATCATCAACATACACGTCTTTCCAGCTTTGTTTATGTAAATCATCTTTTAATTTGTCCAATGCTTTTTTTGATGTGTTTATTGTTTTTTCCTTAATTGTAATTTCTTTTGTAATGCTTTGATAATTTTTATAAATCATGAAAACTGGTAAGTGATCACTCAAATCACTCATTAAAATACCTCCCATCACATCCCCATTTGTTACATTTGTGAAAATATTATCAATTATTGTAGCACTATGAGTTGTAATTCTTGTTGGTTTTGATATTAACGGATAAAGATTTAAACTACACAATGAATTTGTAAATGTACTGATGTTATTTGAATCTGTTTTATTTCCCAGGTCAATATTAAAATCTCCACACAAAAAAATGTTTTTATTAAAACTCTTGTCCAATAGTTGTACGATTTTATCAGTGAATATTTCTATATTTGATCCTGGAGATCGATATACACAACTTATTAATATGTTTTTATCATTCTTGTTTATTATTTCTATTGTTATTATTTCCATGATATTATCAACAACTATTGACATTTCATTAATTAATTTACATTTTATTTCATTTTTAACAAATAGAGCCACTCCACCACCTCTTTTGTTGCTTCTGTTCACATGATATAATTCATACCCTTCCATGTGAACATAAGTTGTGTTTTCATCGTTGAGCCACGTCTCCGACAGTGCAGTTATTGTAAAGGTTCTGTTTAGCTGTTTTAAATAATCTGTTATTTTGGATATATTTGCATTTAAACTTCTACTGTTAAAGTGAATAATAGAGAGACCTCCATTAGTTATATTGATGTCATTAAACTGTTCTTCATTATAATATTCACAGTCTTTTATTTCAGGGAAAAAATTTGTATCAATCGCATCTTCAACATTGTATATTTTAAACTCTGAGTCTTCGTATGTTGCCATGTTTAATGTATTTGTTTGTTTTATATTTTGATTATTCATTGCTTGTGAAGTTGTGTCAATGATTTATCATCTATCATTTCCTGAGCTTATTTTAGTCTTTCCAGATCTTTCAGGTCTTTTATTATCTTAGCCTGAGATCCTTCCTGTAGTTTGATCCAGATGTTTCCATTTCTTGTCCAAGTTGATGCTATTTTTTTCTGTTTTTTCAACCACCTTGCTTCACGTGCAATGTTTCCATTTTTTTTAGTTAGATGTTCATTTATGTAAACATTTGTTCCCTTCAGTTTTTTTGCTTGCATTATTACATGGTTTCTAGATTTCCTGCTAATGAACTTGATGACTATGGATGGTTTGACTTTGTCTGATTTGTTGGGCAGGGTGTGACAGATTGAAATGTCCTCATGTTCAATGTCAATGTGTTTGCTTTGTAAAAAATTCACTACTTGCTCCTCCAGAGTCTGTAGTTCTTCCTGTGGTGCGTCTTCTGTAGTGTTAGTACCAGCAACAACTCTTGCATATGTCCGGTTCTTAACTTCCAGTCCAGTGATCACCAAATTGTCTATTTTTGTGTATTGTTCCATGTCGTCAACTTTCTGTTCCAGTTCAGCTATTTTTTTGTCTTTATTAGTCATCAGTTCTTTCAATTGTCTCACTTCTTCAGACAGTCCTGTTAGTAAATCACATTTAGCTGATAATTTAGTCATATTTGCACTCAATTTAGTCACTTCAGCACTCAAAAAGTTCAAAGATTTTTTAACTTCCTCCATATCTTCTGAATTACTTTCCGACACTTGTCTCCTATCTCCTATCTGTGTTTGCTCGGCATTACTCACGATACTTCTGGATTATTGGTCTCAACTCTCAGAAGCACAGGATCCAGCCACGAGGTTCTCAGGCTATTGTTGTTAGCTTATGTTGTTAGCTTGTTGTTAGCCGAGGCCTAGCCAAATCTAGCCGAGGACTAGCGACAACAACCTCCAGGTCCCACGATTCACTCGGTCCAGAAGTTCGCAGCCCCAACGGTGACAGACCAGGTCCCGGTTGCAACAGCTCCCAAATCCCACAGCTGTAGTTTAGCTTCCTTGGTTTCCGCGGCTCGCAGGTCCAATCGGCGACGGACCGGGTCTCCGACGTAAACAGCTCGGTTCAGCGGCTCGTAGGTCCAATAGCGGCGGACTGGGTCCCCGACGTAAACAGCTCGGTTCAGCGGCTCGTAGGTCCAACAGCGGCG